ACAAGCCACTCCCCACACTAACCAAAGGGAGGATCCTGGTCCGCCACGGTCCACCCAAGCGCAGAGGTGTGGACCCCCTGCGCCCGCTAAAACCCAGCTGCCGCGAGGTCGGGGAATTCCCCCTCGCACCTCCGAAGGCGCCCGGAAACTCGGTGAGCCGTCGGGGTCGCAGGTCCGTAATGATCAGCCTACGACAACCCCCGGTGAACCAATGGACGAGAGTGGGTCGAAGTCCGACGAGAACAGACTCCACTCAAGTTCAGAGTCGCTACTTTCGGCCTCCGGTGGTACCACTGGCAGGCCGAAAGATACGGCTAAAAAGAAAAATTCTCCCCGCGTCAAAATAGATTCTAAGGTCTAACGAAACATATACTTTTAAGATATATATATTTTTTTTCCTGTTTGTGAGATGGCAGAAACAGTTCTCCAGTGGAACTTCAGAGGCTTACTCCAGAACTATGGCGACGTTTACTCTCTACTAGATCTTCATCACCCACTAGCGTCTTGCCTTCAGGAGACTCATTTGAACAATAATCATACTAACATCCTAACGCGCTTCCAGGTTTTTCGTAGGGACCGTCTCCATTCATCCCACACCTCTGGCGGTGTAGCTATAATTGTTGCAAGGTCTACCCCTTTTGTCGAGGTACCACTTACCCAAGCAGCACACTTGCTTGGGCTAGCTGGGGCCAGGATTGGGCCTTGGCCGTAGTAGACTGGACCAGGACCGCCCAGGAAATTTAGTGAACTGCCAGCCTGGCGTCTCACCGTATTTCCCGGGCACCGGTATGCCACGGAACTGCCAGGGAAGGGATTTCCTTGGCGTTCCTTGTCATTTCTTGGTCCGAGCGGACCAGGGTAGACAGGCGGCCGCCTACATTGGCGCTTCAGTGTGTTCATTGGCCCCAGGATTTTACGGGACTGCCAGGGAAGTGATTTCCTTGGCGTTCCTTGTATTTTATTGGTCCGAGCCGACCAGGGTAGACAGGCGGCCGCCAACATTGAAGTCTTAGTGGCGCTTCAGCGTGTTCATTGGCCCCGGGATTCTACGTAACTACCAGGGAGGTGATTTCCTTGGCGTTCCTTGTATTGTCCTGGTCCGAGCCGACCAGGGAAGACAGGCGGCTACCAACGTTTAAGGATTTCGTGGCGCTTCACTGTATTCACTGGCCCCAGGATTATACGGAACTGCCGGGGAGTGGCTTCGGGTGCAGTCAAGGGGGGTGCGGGGGGGGGGGGGGGGGGGGAGGGCGAGGCGGACCGCCCCGGGTGCAGCGCTCCGGGGCGTGTCGCTACGGGCCGGTGGGGGTGGGTGGCGGGGGGGGGGGGGGGGGCGCAGTGGGCGACGGGCGGAGGGGCGAGGGGGGGATGGAGGCGGGCGACGAGCAGGGGGGGGGGGGGGGGGAGGAGAGGGTGTCGCCGCGGGCCACCGTCTCGGGTGCCGCTCACTCTAGTGACGCCACTGTTTGGGTGTCGTTTATTTTTGCAAGATTCAGCGCGCAACGACGGGCTTTTTGGCTGGAACTTGCTTTTCATCGCACCCTGAAGTGCTCGATACCGCCACTTTTACTTATATAACATCAACTTAAAATGTGTTCTTACGTTGCGCTTAAATTTGACTCTTGCGCTATTATCACATAGCCAGTGACATAGCTTCGTCCACGAGTATCTGCGCTTAGACCTTGGGCCAGGACCCGCTTCCTCCTTTTCTTTTCAAAAAATATCGCGTTTGTTGGCGTGACGCGATCGTCGGGCTTTATTGACACGGAACAAATTAACTAATCGCAACTCAGTCGGCGCTTCAAGAAAAATATTGTGAAAAACATGCTGCTTAACTAAATCTGCACACCTTGCCGCGGCGTTGAACAGGCGTGTTCAATTTTCCGTTCGCTCAGACCCCGCGTTCTTTACAGACTGAAAAGAATGACCGGGCGCTTGAGTCAAATTGATCGTCCCAAACTTTAAATGAACAACAAAAATCAGTTTCACATGATTCGTAATTGCAGCCTGGTGGTGCGTTTTATTCGCGAGAGCGAACTTGCCTCAGAAGCTTCAAGCAAAAAATGCTTACTAAAACCGACATGTGCTAAGCCTTTAGTTTTTCAAATGAAACGCGGCACGCGAAACTTCGCCACGAGAAAGGCTTAGATGTTGGCTGGTATTTCTGAGTTCAAGAAGAGGCAAGACTGCTCTCGCTGCACCTACGTCAAAACTTCGCAGTATAAGAAACTGATTTTTAGTATTTATTTAAAGTGGGAACGACCCATCTGACTCACCTGACACCGCCGACACACGTGGAATGCGGTCCGCACAGACCGTACCACAAAGTTACTAAAGCCTTGGCCACGCGTGGCGTAAAGCAAAGGTATGTGCAGGTGGCGCTAGTGATGAAGTGCATAAAAAAGAAGTTTATTCCACGGAAAATCGCATTTACGAATCAGCCATCGCATTAATGTCACTGATGCGTACAATGTAAGGAATCGGAACAAAGTAAGGGATACCGCGAATGTAATATTTATTTACATTTTTATTTTCATCTCAAAATTAATCAAGCCGGGTTTTAATCCGCGTTTGGATAGGTTCCACATGGACTCATGCTTATCAGAATTTGTAAATACGAAATAGGCTTAGCTTAAGCGGTCAAAACATAGATCTAACCTGCCCTCTATTACACAACAGAAAATATATGGCAATCATTTCATTGTTCTATGACTCTTTATTCTCTCTTTCATCATAAATGCGAGCGAAGGAGAGCTCTTGACGTGTCAACATCGACCTCACATTGCTTTCGCTCGCACTGAGTGTGAAACGAAGTGTAGGACATGTAGGGCACGTTTCGGCGGTGCACGAGGTTAGCGTAACTTCTGCAGGGCTCCAATTTTGTCAAAGCGGGGGTGAGCACGTGCAAATTAGAGGCAACACAAAGCCTCGTGGGCGCGCTCTTGTTCTTAGTTTACTGAATGCGCTGATCGCGTGCGCTGAAAACAGCCTGTAGCTATGGCTCCAGAGAAAAATTGGGGTTTGTTTTATGTTTATACAGCCTAGAGTTTGGTCTACCTCAATGGCCGACGAGTCTCCCAGCTGTAGATTAAACATTTAGACAATGCAGTACAACGGATAGCGCGGGGTCTTAACGTGCATCACGCAGTAATGATACACGACAGCGCGCCGGTAGGATGTTCATCCAGATCGAAACGGGCAGGGGTGCGGATAGACCGATTTCACCATCTAGTTTGAGTACGCCGCCGCTGCCGCCATGCATCGTGGGAGCTGTAGTCTTTCTGCACGCGCTACAATTCTGCTGGAGGTCTGCGCGAGCAGAGCACGAGGTGGCATGAGCTGTCTCGTGAACTGGTGTCTGCTTCTATCATTTACAGTAATTTCGGCGTCACGCATGCGTGGAACGCTTGGTGGGATCGGTCTATTGAACCCAGGATCCCTGGGTTCTGTAGCACGAGCTTTCGCTCCACGTGCTCCGAGCTGGTGTGCTCTAGCCCACTCGGCCGCTGATCCCGCTCCGGAGGGAAACATATGTCTTCTGTTTCGACACGCACAGCACGTTCGCAACTGGATTACACCGCTGTATGAACTGCGAGCTGTAGCGATTTGAAAGGTCCACGAAAAAAGAAAAAAGCCATACTCGGTGACAGGTTAAAAGTAAACGTTGAGGAGGGGGTCGACTCCTCTCGAGCGTTCGCTCTGCAAAAGTGGAAAGAGATGGGAGGAGCTGCTTCATCTCAAAACCACCGAAAGTCGTGCTCAGCAAATCCCACACGAAGCACAAAATGCACACCTCTTTAGATTTGTGTGTATGTTTATGAGGCAAAAAACGCAGTGCCTCTTCTTCTCTTTTGCCCATTTAGCGATGCAGCCACGAATATTTTCCAAGGGGGAGGGAGGGGGGGGGGGGGGGGCGACCCTGAAAGCTTCTCCCTCCTCCCCTCTATCTACATCACTGGTGTATTGTCGGCTGTACGTGATCTTGAATTTCTCAAAACAACCCGTTTTACTGAGCCGCAAAACACGACGTGTAATTCAGACCAAACCCCCCCCCCCCCCCCCCAAAAAAAAAAAAAAAAAACACGTACATTTTTTTAGCAAAAATAACAACTCAAAGCAAACATCCAGTGAATGATTAAGCAATTACATGTCTTTACAAATGAGAAATCAAGTGTAATTAAAGGGGCCATGAAACAAATTTTGGGTTAGGATGAATGATTTTAAATGGGGACTTTACTAATCGCATATCGTTTATTTGGTCAAAAGAAAGAGGCTAAAAAGTCAAAAGCCAGCTTTTCGGTACGAACATTTGAAAATATAGGGGAATATTTTGTACTTTCTTTCCTTCGAAAGCTCTCCGCCTTTTCACTATGATACATCCGCGGTTCCAAAAGCGCGTCACCGGCGCCAAACTGACGTCAGCAGAGCCTAGTTCACGCATTGGACACGAGAACTGCGTCACTCGGACGTATGCGCTCGTCAACAATCAATCCGTCGACGAATATTCGGATTCGCGTTCGTGGCCAAAGAGTGACCTGACGGAACTTATTGTCACTGAGGAATGACAAGTTCTATGGTGTGCATAAAAAGCACGGTGGAACCTAGGAGTCATCGCACCGGTGCCGAAGGAATGTCACGACCACGTGATTTCACAATTCGTATTTGAGTTGAGGATTAAAGCTAAGGAGGAAGAAGTAGGAAAATCGTTTCATGACCCCTTTAAGATAATGAACACCGTATGTTTGAAGGACGAGATGGACGTAAGTTGATGTAGATTTCAATCAGCACACAAAGGTTATCAAGCAGCGTATAACAGGAGAAGAAGCTGGAAAATTATGTCTGCTCGCCTTCGATTCACTTCAAAGTTCATACAGAGCACGATAACTGCGGTAATGTCCACAGCAGTGACACCGGCCCCAAAAATATGAACTGTGATAGAGTGGGGTCGAAACCGAAACTATTACGTCGTATTCAGTCTTTGGCTTCGTGCTAATCCAAAGCCACAAAGCAGCTTCCGGATCCTTGTTCGCGCCGGAGCGGAGACAAAGGCCTGTTTCTCGGAGTGCGTCGGTCGGTCCGAGTTTAGGTAAGTTTTGCCGATTTCATATTCATAATGCATGCTAGAAGAATATCCGAGATATGCTAGATCATCTTCCGAACAACGTAGCTCACGTTGCCACCGTAATGCGGATAATGTTTCACTTTTTTCTGCGATTTGACTCGAAAAAAGTGAAATCGTCTTAGCACTGACCGGCGGCGGCGGCGCCGCTATCTTGAGAATCTTGTGAATGCTCTGCGACAACGGAGCACTGCAGAGACGCTGATTAGATCGTTTCTAAAGTACGCGTTGCTATCAGTGAACTGCTCTGTGTTGTCAAACGCTTGAATACGGACGTTGGAACGAACGCCATGGGTGTGTTCGGGATGACTCGGGTGGTTTTGACTTTGGCGTGTCGTCTGTCTAGCGACAGCGTTGAGTTGTGCCCAGTATTTTGAAACTCCCGGCCTGCGCGCACTTGGTTTTCGCGCCGCGTCCAGCGGGATGGCGCGGTTCGAGTGGCGCTGGCGTGTGGCGCTGGCTGCGCTGGCGTTTGGCGGGTAGATAGGACAGGCTCATAGCTGGGCGTCGTCGTTGTGCTCGTGTACGGCGTGTGCCTCACGCCGGCCTGTGGTGCGTGGCGTTGGGTTTGAGGCGCGCGGGCCTAGAGTTTCTTAAAAGTGTTGACAGAGCCCTGTTAATCTCATCGTTCTTGTTGTTTTCTTCCTTGTTGCTTGTTTGTTATTTTAATAATCTTGCTCTGGTTGATTGCCTAGCAGTCGATCGTGCGCACGGGCCCCTGTATATATGTCTAGCCTTGCGAGCCACCCAGAGTACTACTGTCGCTAATAAAGATTATTATTGCTTGCCTTAGCGGCGTTTTAATTTACCCCGGCTACATTCGTGACTTGTGGAACTCGTGGGTGCACAAGTAGTTTACATGGCTGAGGAAAGAGGTTGAATGATTTGATTAAAATGCTCTGGTCTGGTATAGAACGTTCAGTGGTACAAAAGTTGCAATAGAAACACACACATCTGGCAGGCGCTCTCACATTTACTGCAGAGACACATACAAATCAAGGAGATGCAACTTTGAATGTGATGTCTCCTTACTTACTAAGACATATAAATACCTGAGGCTCTGGTAAAGTTGAAGGGAGTCTCTTAAAGCATTTGTGGAAAGACCCAAAGCTGGATACAATTTTAGTCTAAAAGCTGGTCCACACTTGCACCCGACTAGGACTGACTCCGACAAAACCAGTCTTTAAGCCTCTTGTGACAGCTTATGACCACGCCGTCCAGCAGTAATGGCAGTCGTAAGCGGCTTAAAACCCTGTTTTGTTCAACTCGGTCGTAGTCAGTTGCAACAGTGTGAACCAGCTTTAATGCCTCTTAGGCGCATGCGCAAACAGTAGCTTCAGGATAAACTTGCGCATTGCACTGCCCCAAAGGATTTCGATCACATCCCGGGTGTTTATTTTTTATCTGTATCCCTGCACTGCAGAACACGTCAAGAGGCTTGTTGATTGCTGTGCATGTACCTATCAAGCGAGCTGTGCTATTTTTAAGTGGTGTTTAATTTGTTTTTAGCTTCCTGGGATTTCTTAAGGTACCAGTAGGTATCTAAGCTCTACATGCACATTGTTCTTAACAGGCACTTCACCAGAACTTTGTATTGGGAGGGGGGGGGGGGGGGCACCCAAGACAAAATGCTGTATGAGGGAGAGGAGGGCCCAGCAAAATGGACGATTTTGGGGGGGGGGGGGGTGGATAGGGTAGGTAATAAAGCAAAGGTGAGGTAGGCTCCTACCCCCCTCCGGCTGCATGCCTGGTTCTTAATACAATTACGTCATGAAGAAGCTCATTTTCCTTGTTTGGTTGAGTTTAATGGTGCTGTCATCATGGTCTTTGCACTGTTGACAACAAGAGAAGCGTAATGTTGGCACTTGTTCTTTTGTTGATCTGTGAAGCAAGTTTTGGTTTCTTTTTTGTTCCAGAATGTCAGTCTGATTCTTATTCATGGTGTTGCAGAAAGTCTGTATCATCAAGAAAAAACTGCAGGTGGCTGGAGGATGCCGATCAGCTGCCAGTCTGGATAGTAGCCATCAACTCAGCAAAGGCCTGCAGTCGAATCAGCCCCACCTGTTTCTCTGCTGCCATTCAAGACGGGATGCTTTGTGAAAGGTGAAACGGGGCCCATGCACCGCTTCCGCAGGGCCCTGCTGGTATTTATCTGACATTTTGTTTTCCTAAACAAATAACACCATTACAAACTGTAATATACCGAACAATTGCCCACTCTAAATTGGCGATGACCATGGAGAGCTAAGGGATAGGGTAGGTAATAAAGCAAAGGTGTACATGGTCGGGTGGTCCCTTGGTCTGACCCCGGAATTACAAACAGCTGCCATTTGCAAAGCTAGTTGACTGTGCAAACACGTAAAAACAAACCGTCTGTTGTTTTTTTTCTTTTTTTGATTACAAATTAACACCCTAAAGAATGGTTGCTTACGCATTTGCTTGTTCTTGTTATAAAGCCTTAAATTTATTCTTCCGAGTTAGAACAAAAAAGCAACCCATCTTTTTTTGGGCACAACTTTCTTTGGCAATGAAGAGAAAGCTAGGGAGGGGGGAGGCAGGCAGTGCTAATGGCTCTGTGTTAGTGCACCAAATAGTTTTTTTTTTTTTTTTTTTTTGGTTTTGGTTTTAGTTAGAGTTTGGCGTGTCAACCACGCAGTTCCTTCAGTGCATGTTTTTGTACGAGGATTGCGGTTGAGGGACCTGAACCGCGGTCGCCGAGCATGCAGGCATATTCAGATCTATTTCTGAAGGCTAACCCGTTTTTAAACGTAAGCCAACACTTTGACTGAAACACTCGGACAGACTTGCAGGGTAGATTTCACCGGGGTCAATCTACTAGAATTTGTCTCTCAGCTGACGAAGATAGGCAGTGTCGAATCAGGAAAAGCTGCGAACTTCATGATAGTAGATAAGCGCCGGAAAAATACCTAGACAAAAATTTGACGTGAACACTGGCGTACCGGCAACTAACATTTATTAAAAACAAAATTTCTTATATAGCTGTGAAAAACGTCAGTCATGACTACAACTGGTGCAACCCTCTATCAAATTCATTCTTTTGCCGATAAGGTTATGGATCTGTCACTTGTACACCTGGTGCATTTGGCTTTAATCTTAAACGCCTGGTGTAGCTCTCTAGATTCTTTATCGGGGTATCTGGCCAAAAATTTGGTGTCCTTAAACGACTGGGAGCAAAAGCAGCGTCTGCAGTGTGTGGCCAGATTTCGTGATGGAAGTCGCTTGTGTGGCCACCTCGTGTTCGTGGGCGCGATCATTAATACATAGGCCTGTCTGACCTGTGTACACAGAACCATATGACATTGGGATTTCGTACACAACTTTGGTCGTGCATTCTGTGAATTTTTTGCAGTGTTTAGTTTTGCATTTGTCTTTTCCAAGGGCCGCTGCTGCAGCGACCACACACATCAGCTGCTGTCCTTGTTTCCCATCATTTAATGACACCAAATTTTTGGCCAGATACTCAGATAAAATGTCTAGAAAGCTACACGAGGTGTTTGAGATTATAGCCGAAGGCACGAATTGTACAAGTGACACATTCATAACCTTATCAGCAAAAGAATATGAATTTCTTGATAGAGGTCTACATTGGTTGTAATCATGATTGACATTTTTCACAGCAATGTAACAGATTGATTTTTTTTTTCAATAATGTTAGTTGCGAGTGTGCCAGTGGCAACTTCTTGACCCTGTCTATTTTTTTGGCGCTAGTCAATGATCATGAACCACCTGACCCAAATTGCCACATGAACAAGTTTCATGAGTGCTGCCGCGTTTTGAGGTCAGTTATCTGTAAACTCTTCTGGTGCTGAAAAACTATTGTGCGGGAGGAATATACAGAAATAGAAGCATGCACACTCCACGACGCAGTCGCATTCCATTTGGATCGCATTCAGTTATGGCTGGCCCTAGGGGGTCGCTGGCACACCACAGCTCAGAATATGTGTAGCGAGGATTGCGCTGCAGAACCCAGGGGTCCTGAGCTCGGTCCCCACCCCTGCTCACACACACCAGTGAGCTTGCTTGCCAACCGGCATACGGAAATAACTAGGAGTCCCGGTTCCCACTGTCCCATTTGTCATACACGTTGCACACCACTTGCTTGGTTTGTTTTAAGATTTCTTGGTTGCCAAACTTCGTAAAAATCTTACATGTCAAACAAAGAGGCGAGCTCACAGAGTGTACCTACAATACACCACACTGATGATGCCCAAAGATGCCATTCTAATTTTGCAGGGAGCTAGAAAACCAAGGGTGAATTTAAACCAAGAAAACACAAAATAGCTAAATAGGAAATGCTCAAGGTTTGGCACATCCTGGCTAATGTTATGCTAACATTCTGAAGTCAAAGCTAAACAGAACAATTTTACATATATTTTAATTGGTTACGTTCCACCCAGCAAATTATTATAGTTGAACTATATTCAGCTATGCAGTGAAATGGTGTCCTTTGGCTCTCTAGCTTTAGCTCCATTGCCACAGAATGTTGTCCCGAAGTATATCACTTTCTAGCTCTTTTCGACTGCACCCCTCCTATTCCTCTCCTGCTTTGCTGTTCTACTCGTTCTATCCCCATTCTGTCTGCCAGTCGTGGAGATAAACGCCCATGGGGACAGGGCGCTTGATGTCTCTTTCATATATTTTTTTAACTTGCTTAAAATAGAGGAATAGGCTTTAATATGTCCTTAGATGAGGTGATATGTTTCAAAAGTAGGGGTTAGAGCGCTTACTCTGCCACGGGTGCATGCTCTGTGTTTTTTGGTAGTTTTATAGTGTTGTGTGTTACTAGAATAAGTTGGGCTTTAGTATAGTTACAGCATATGTGTACAGTAATTCACGCAGTTGTTAATGATCATTAGTACCTAACTCAACCCTGTGCAGGGTGTCTATGAGCTGAAAAATTGGTATTGTTGAGGAATTCGGCAATTGGAAAAGTCTCAAGATTTTCAGCCTAATCAGTATCGATCAGGGAAGTTCAGCCTTCCTTTCTCTGAATGTAAGCAAAAGATTTGTGTGGTGTGGCACATGCACCTTCCTCCTACTCAGCAACTCGGCCGGCCTGCCAACGTAAATCTTTGCTGGAAACTAGAGTCTTGGTAGAATCCAGAGATGCAACTTCATCTCGAGATGTATTTACAAGGAAAACTTCTATACTCTCAATGAACTGCTGCTGCTTATGGCAGATTTGTGGAATGGCTTCATAGTGCGAGAGCTTGTCTCTATAGCTACTCTAGTTGCTCCTGAATAAACTTCTAGGGGATCTTTTCCGGGCTGTGAACATCATGGCAGTTGAGGTAGTTTCTGCTGGAAAAGGGAGGGGGGGGAGAGAGGGTATCCCTCAGCTTGACAGTCCATGGAAGCTTTGTCAGCCAGGATTTTGAATGTTGCGAGGACAATGACGGCTGCATTAGCTCATATTTTTTTTGCCAGAAGTTGTACGACCAACTGCCAGGATTGCAACATCCAACAGCATGAAACAAACCAGTTGGAGGCGCATTCCAGGCACCATAACGTAGCCTCTGCTGCTGAGATGTTCTTATTGCAAGTATAATTTCCGATTCTGTTTCTTTTGTTTTTCACTGGGAGCTCATGGAGGTGGCACGGTGCATGGAAGAACAGAGTGGCTGACAGTGAGCTGCCCAAGCAAGCTGCTGGCTCTTGTGACTGTCTCTGAAAGCCTCTGGATGTGCTAAATTGCAGACGTGCCTGGACATTTATAAATGGTAAACACAATCTAGACTACCTTTGAATTATGCCTTGGTCTAACGGATGCAGCTTGGATGTCGTGTTTGGCTGCTAGAATAGAACTGGATAGTGTTAAGTGGCACATGTCACCAAGTAAGCACACGCTGGGACGCTTATCCACAAACTCGGCTTCCCAGTCCACGAGCCACCAAAGAGATCCCGAGTCATCCATGATTTCATGTTTCATACGTATATGATGGTTTTACTACAACAGCTCATACTATTTGGCATTCTAAACTTTCCCATCACTAAGGATACATTTTTGTGGTGCCATCCGTGTTGGTTTTCAAAAGCTCTGGTATCTGGGCCTTGTTCTGTTAGCTTCCATGCGAACTGTGAATCGCTTGCCAGGGATGCTTTTGCCACTGCAGGCCAATTTCCTAGGCAAGGCATTTAACTATTTCTGGTTTCATACTTGGCTTCAATTGATTGTTGAGCCATTGACTTTCTCTTTCGACGCTGGCACTGCCAGCACAATAGTCCCATCACATACACATTCTTTTAGAAGATTCTTCACTTCAAGAGTAAAAGGAGTTTTTCACATTCCTTTAGAAGATTTGTCCCAATATAGGAATGTTGCTTGCCCCGACATCTCTAAACCACCTCTGTAGTGGTTTCTCGATGTCTTAATATGCCGTGCATCAGAATGTCTTTTGTCGCGCTTTTATGTCACACCGTTTCTTGAGTAGTTTACAAAGATCTTGTGGGCTCCAGTGACACAAACCTTTGTCTCCCTCTCCACATGCCTTATTATTTCAAGTTTTGTTGCAAATGTCAACTTTGCCCTCTAGATATTCACAGTCATAACAACTCTCACAGAATTCAGTGGTTTTTGTACTCTTTTTACTGGTTTCCGTTTTGAGCAAAATGTGCGAGTGCCGAAAGCACAAGCTCAGAGGAAGGGATCAAGAAGAAAGAAGGTGGAACCCGCGCACGGTGTGGTTGTGGTGGAACGCGAAGCAAGGGCTTCGTGGGTTTGGGTGGTCGAACCTCGAGCAAGGCTTCGTCAAGACTGTTTGTGGGCCCCGAGCAAGTCTTAGACAATGTGCCTGTGCTTGTGAGTGAGCACTGTGTGGCGCTGCAAGCACCCAAGCCACCACCGACATCTTGGGACCATGATTGGACTCTCCTCCTCCTCCAAATGTATGGCACCTTTGATTTGGCTTCTGTTCCTTTTGTTATGCTTTCAAAGCTTTTGTGTTTTTCCTTCTGCGGTTATGAAGAGTGGAACGCTTGCAAGATATGTTCTGTTCCTTTATTTATTTCTTTTTTTTTACGACTGTGTGCACGTGCTGTGCACCTTTTCTTTACTTTTGAATTTCATTACTATTAAATAGTGTTCCGTAACGCCAGGCTCGACTCACTCTCAGTTCCTACCGCCTCTCAGGAAGTCCATCGCCTAGGTTTGGCCCTAGCACCTGGACAGCGGTCCAATTCAAATTACAAGTTTGTTTTTATGGGATCTTTTCCAATCGAACCTGTGACTAACTTGTGTCAGGTTCAAGTGCTGTAGTGGATGCCAGTTTGTCACAGGTTCGGTTGGAAAAGATGCCATAAACAAACCAACTTGTAATCTGAATTGGACCGCTGTCCAGGTGCTAGGGCCACACCTAGGTGATGGATTCCTTAGAGGCGGTAGGAATTGAGAGTGACTTGTACCTTGCATTTCGAAACACTATTTATTAGTAATGAAATTTAAAATTAAAGAAAAGGTGCACAGGACGCACAAACGGACGTAAAAAAATGAAAATAAAGGAAAAGAACATATCTTGGAAGCCTTTTGCTCTTCGTAGCAGCGGCAAGAAAATCACAAAAGCTTCGAAAGCGTAACAAAGAGGGAACAGAAGCCAAATCAAAGACTCCATACATTTCGTATGAGGAGAGTCGAATCATGGTCGCAAGATGTCGGTGGTGGTCCCAGTCCCTTGCGGCACCAGTCGGAGTCGAGAACTTGTGGTGGCTTGGGTGGTTATAGTGCCGAACAGCGCTCGCTCACAAGCACATGCACGTTGTCGAAGCTTGCTCAGGGCCCACCAACCATCTTGACAAAGCCTTGTTCGGGGTTCGACCTCCCACACCACTGAAGCCTTGCTTGTTGTTCCAACCACTGAAGCCTAGCTCTACGCAGCTTCCGCCTTCCTTCTTTTTTTCTTTTTCTTCTCTTCCGAGCTCGTGTTTTCGGCACTCGTGCATCTTACACTAAACGGAAGCTGACGATGAAAAAAAATCTTTCAATTCTGTGACAGCAACATGTAGGCCTATTTGTTGGTTGATTCTAATGTCAAATATCCATGATTGTCCACATTGGATATCATTTGCCTGCGGTGTGTTCTGCAGCCACAAACATCTGCCATGCCACCACTACGCATTAGTGTTCAGTGGAGAAGCCTGCTACGTGGCTTCAGAGCATGCAGTCATTAATTTCAACACTAGGGAATTTGACAGTGATGTCTCATGCAAATGGACACCTCCGTTCCTAACCAGAGGCGTCCATAATGTGAGCTGTGCATAATAACAGGACAAAATGCAGGTATTTACCCGGTTGGTCCCCGAAAACGGTTTTTATATAGCAGAGTATCCATATTATTGAGACATGACTGTTTACCCACCCTGCCCGAGTCCTACTAGAGCGACAAAGAAAAACACCTGACACTCATATGCCTCAAGACTGGATAATACGCCAAAAAACGCAGACGAAATGAAGGAAGATCTGGGCAGGACACGTCTTAACTTTTAACTGAATAGTTTACTTTGGTAAAAAAAATATATCTACTGATAGGAAGTGACACATGCTGTCAGAACACTGTAAACCTGATTTGCACGGTGTGATTTTACTTGTGAGTTTGCTGTTGTGACGTCACTCACTCAGCGAAATATAGGCATGGGGGAAGCTGCAGTGCCTGATGTCACAGGTGTAAATTTGCAAGCGAAATTGCGCCATGTGAAGTGGGCTGATGCGACGTCTGAACACACTCCCCCAGAAACGAGCGTCATTGGCTCTGCAGACCGTGGAATTCTTTGTCATGTGTTAGTAATGAGGGTGTGCTCACATGAGTTGTTATTCTAGGATTTCATCAAGAAGGCATTGTGAATTTTCCTGTTTGTTTTTGTCTTGTAGCAGCCCATGACACTAGTCTTTTTCTAAGTTGGACTTGCACTCACAATGGACACAGTGAATTGCTAGGTGACCTTCTGGATAAAATACCAGGGTAACAACTCTTGTCTGAGGTGCACCCTTAGTGTCATTGTCTGACAGAATTTCACTCTCTGTGGGACTAGTGGCACTGGTTTCTGAGGAAGTGCATTTTGACCTTACAGTGTTCTGCCAGCAGGTGTCAGTTTTTTATCTGTATAGATGCTTTTAGGGAGTCAGTTACTCGAGCTGCCACCAGTCGGCGTGCTTAACGGGCTGCCATAGCTGACCTTCATTTTGTCCCCGTTGCTTTGCATTGTGTGCTGCACCGGTCACCACCGGAGCTTTGTTTTTGTGTTCTTTTACGTCCCGCGTTGAAGCCGAGTGTTTTCTTTAGGTCTTTGATATTTCAGGCTTCCATTTAATCATTTGATACCTATGTTTCATTATAGATGTTGTATTTTCTTATTTATAGAATGGAATCTGACAGCGAATGGATCAAGATACAAGATCATGGCCTAGGCTTCAGAGAACATGTAAGTTCATCACATTCTTTTGTTTTTGTCGCTAATAAAGGGCAGTCAACACCATTGCGACATATGAAAATTGCAACTGACGCAGTGAGGCTATCTCCAGATGCCCGTCGTTGGTTTGGCACGCAAATCCCCCAAATTTTTGGCAGTGAGGCTATCGCAGTCATGCTTCTCGGTGCATGTGCGCGCTTTTAGACATTGTTTCCATAGATAAAAGCCGAACCGCATCTAAGCGCTTTAGCGAGCGACGAGACGAGCGACAACGACGAGTCAGCAACGAAAGTTTCACACTGCCACCCGTCGCGGCGCTCGGCTTTTGGATTTCTAGAAAACCGCATGCAAGTGGTTTAGAGAGGAAGGAGCCAAGCGACTCGCTTCGCTTTCGCTCAATCAGTCGCGCGACGAGGCAAACCGCACGCAAGCGACCAAGACGATGAGCGACGTTTTCTAGAAATCCAAAAACCGAGCGATGCAACGGGCGACAGTAAGAAATCTTCGTCGCTGACTCATCGTTGTCGCCGTTGCTCGTCTCGCCGCTCGCTTGAGCACTTACATGCAGTTCGGCTTTTACTTACGGAAACAATGTCTAAAGTTCGCACATGCAGCAAGAAGCACGACTGCGATAGCCTTACAGCGTCAGTGGAAATTTTTATGTGTCGCAATGGTGTTGACTGCCCTTATTAGCGATAAAAACAAAATGTGATGAACTTAATGGTTTCTGAAGCCTAGGCCATAATCTTTTATCGTCGGTCCATTCGCTGTCCGATTCCATTCTATAAATAAGAGAATACAAGAGCAATGTTCAAATGTAGATATCAAATGATTAAATGAAAGCCCGAAATATCAAAAGGACCTAAAGCAAACACACAATTTCAATGCAGAACGTAAAAGAACTCGAGAACAAAGCTCCGGTGGTGGCCGGTGCCGCACACAACGCGGAGCAACTGCGAGAAACTGAAGGTCGGCTATGGCGGCAGGATCACGTGACGTCAAGGTGGCAGCGGCGCACCCATGAAATGTTGCCTGAAAGGGTCTATATGTATTTCTGTTTTTTTTATATGAACCATTCAGTTGAAGGTTATGCCGTGTCCTGTCCAGATCTTCCTTTGTTGTGTCTGTGTTTTTTTGGCGTATTATTCAGTGATGAATAGCCAACTTGCCATCTTAAGCCCCAAGACCATGCAGCATGCATACAAAGATATCTTTTGGCATTCTTGCAATAACTTGTGCTTACTTCATGAGCCTCGAAAAATGGGAAGCCTGCCAAAGGTATCTTCGTGTGCATGCTGAATGTATTTAAGTCGTGTTGGGGTCGGTTGTTCCTCTTGGTTGCTTTAGTAGGACTTTCATCCCATTTTACATTGTAAGTTTATAATACATTTTCACAAGAATTCTTGCTCACATTCATTGTATTTATTGATTCAATATAATCAAATCAGACTGAATGTTTTTCTGATCTGATTTTCTTTTGTGTTGTTTTAATTACTAGGGAATTTGGTTTTTTGTGGGTTTATAGCTTCAGGGCTGTCAGTGGAAGTTGAGACCACTTTATATTGCTATTTTAGAGGTAGCAAGGTGTAAAGTTGGGCAAGTTGGTTGATGGCCATATTGAATGGGTTAAAACAGTGCAAAAAAGATGGACCAGTAAAAGGAAAGACACAGTGCTGTGTTTGTGATTAAACATGAGGAAGATGCATAGAAGGGGGGGACGGACAACAAAGTTGTCCGTCCGTCCGTCCCCCCCCCTTTTTATGTATCTTCCTCATGTGTAGTTACTCTTACCAACACGCTTGTTTTGTACGTAACTGTGTCTGTGTGTTTCCTTTTACTGGTCCTTCGTCTTTTTAGAGGTAGGTAACATAAATACCAAAAAGTACTTCTATGCATTTAAAGAAAAGCAGATAGAAAACATTGTCTTTACAGTGAAGTTGTACTTATGGCTTGGTTTTACTATCAAGAGAAACAAGAAAATTCCCTTGCGGCAATTCAGTCTGCTTTCAAACGATCTGAGCAACCTTCCACAGTACTGTATGTTATATGTGGTGTTCACATTGAGGTGCTTTAACTGGCTTTTATTTTGCATTTACTGACAGTAGTATTCTACAAATGGAGGGAAATCATGCTTGTCACTGTCAAATTCTGTAGTTCCTGCGTTCTGTATTCTCCTGCAGTATGAAAGACCCAGTGGGAGCGCCTGGCCGAGGCAGTGACTGGTGGGGGCACTGTGTGTGCTCTGGGAGATCCCAATCTACCCAAGGGGGAACTCACGTAGTGCTCAGCTAAAGCGCAATGCACACTTATCAGTTTTCGGGTTGACGGTGGAGAGCAGTTAATTCACATTATGTCACAGCAACTAATTCTGAAATGGCTGTCCGAGAGAAACTGGCCCGAGTCAAGGCAATTATTTTCACTTTTAAATAGCATGGTCCATGCCATCCTTCTGATTAATGATTCCGCTCTTCAAGACATTTTATTTTTCAAATATGAGACTCAGGTGTAACGTTAATATTTGTGCCTGTTTTCAAATTTTACACCAGAAACAACTGATAACGAAAACAATAATGAGCATGCTTACTTCGAGCCTCCATGATCACATCTCTGGGCGCAATGCCGATAAAGCAAACTTTTAGTCTAAACCTAAACCAAAAACGGTTAACAAGTTCAGGACCAGTTCAGCCCCGAGTGAGCGTCCTTTCCTCGAGGCAGAACAGAATCTCGTGGAGCGCACATATAGCGCCCACGGCCATCACGGCCACGCGCTTTTAGTAGGTCTTTTATATTGAAGGAGACTGAACATACCACCAAGACCTTTTGGGTGGCCTTTCTGCTGTGTTATAATTTAATTAGGAGCATGGTTCATGTAAAACATATTTACTAAACATGCATCACTGGTTATCTTATTCCTTCTCCAGGTGCTGCTATCCAGCTCTACGTCACAGCCATGAAGTGGCCATGGGGTGAACCATGGACAACTGCTGTCTTAAGTACTCGAATCGGCAGAGCCACCTACTAGCTGTGAAGCCCAGTTGCCAGGCAGCAGATACTCGACCAGCAACCAGCCTTTGTCACTCTAGTGGGACACGAGAGCGACAAGCCTCCAACCCATTCAGCATGCCCGTGATGGTACCTTTGGCAGGCGTTTATTCGTTCGGTGCTCGTGAAATAAGCATGAGTGATTCTAAGCCTGTCAAAGATACCCTCGCGTGCATGATGCTTGTTTTTAAGCATAGCCTCCTTTATTCCACAAAGCCTCTCAAATCGCGAAAGACTCAGGTTTGAGACTTGTCGTCATTTGTTTCTGTTTGTCGCTGTAGTGGGACTCGGGGCATAAGCTAGCACCATGTACTGAACATGAAATAAAAAACCACTGTATCAAACTTGACTTGATTTTGCAGCTTCATTTGCATGCCAACTGCACAATAAATACAGCAGCTCGCACATGTTTTCAACTTTCATTTTATTGTTTAAGTATTCTGAGAAAATTACTGGAGCAGCTCCATTAATCGTGGGTCACTAAATCCGGAACAAGGTAGCAACCAGTTTTTTTCTGCACACAGCCCCAAAAATTGGAGATGTCTGACTATATCTTATGCCACAAAAACATCCTTTGAATGACAACATAGACTTCCTTGGGAGAAGTCTGTAAATTCCCCGTATAGCCAAGATTGAATGACCAGAGAACTCCCACCCTGGCCCACACTGCATTTACACCGTTTTGCCAAGCTTGACTGACCACTGAACTGCCAGTGTGGCCCAGGATGCATTTAGACCGTTTTGCCAAGCTTGGCTGACCACTGAACTGCCAGCCTGGCCCAGGCTTGTTTTACACCGTTTAGCCAAGCTTGGCTGTACAAGGAACCCCCACTGAACTGCCGGGCCGGCTAGCCAGGCTGGGGCTAGCTTGCCCCTTGGAGCAAAACGGTGCTTGGGCCAGGGAAACTTTCCCCGGCTGCCCAAGCAGGCTCAAGCTTGAGCCGGTGAATTGTGCTGCTTGGGTAATGCCACATTAGAGGCTGTGGCAGTTCGCATCTTATCTGATCGACTGATAACTGTTTGTTCTGTGTATATTCCTCCAAGCTACACCTTATCTCGCAGAGAGCTAGAATCTCTTTATGACGAACTCCCCCAACCAGCTCTAATCCTAGGAGATTTCAATGCTCATAACCCTATGTGGGGCAGTGGACGACGTGACACACGTGGCTCGATGATTGAGTGTTTTCTTTCTTCTACTGCTTTATGCCTGTTAAACAAACTAGAGCCTACATATTTCAGCGCTCCAACTCGTTCGTTCACATCCATTGATCTGTCACTAAGTGACCCAACATTATTCCCTCTTTTTTCATGGGCTGTTGATCCCAACCCATATGGAAGCGACCATTTTCCCATAATTTTAAACCGCATCAATCCACCCGCTACACTATTCACACGAACACCCCGTTGGAAGTTCGAAGAGGCAAACTTGGGTACTTTTAGTGAGGCCACTCAGCTCGCTTGCACATCATTGGACAATCTGTCTGTCAATCAAATCACCAGTCTGCTTAGTAGTCATATTCTTCATGCTGCAATGATAGCTATCCCCATGACTTCGTCTCACCTACCCGGTCGTCCTAAACCATGGTGGAATGCCGAGTGTGAAAAATCGAAAAGAAAGCAAAACAGAGCCTGGGGGATTTTCAGACGTTACCCAACGCAAACTAACCTAATCAAAATTAAACAAACGAAGGCTCATGCGAGATACATACGCCGCCAGTCTAAACGTAAAAGTTTCCAAGCATATGCATCCTCAATCAACAGCACTGCCACTAGCAAAGAAGTGTGGGACAAAATTCATAAAGTCAATGGGAACTACCGTGCTTTTTCAGTACCGCTTCTTTCTGCAAATGGACTTTGCCCCGAGAGCCTTGAACAGCAGGCAGATCTCCTTGGGGAACACTTTCAACTAGAGTGCCTTCATGTGCGCTTCGCATAGAGTGATGCCATCTGCCTGTTTCCCTTTCCCACACCCTCCTCCACCGCCATTTTGTTTCTCTCATTGTTTCCCCGTGCGCCGGAAAGTGGCCTTTGTGTCCATCGGTAATCCCATCCGAGGGGGAAAATGCTAATCCTCCCTCCGTGGGTTCCACAACGCTGCTCCAAACTTCTGAGATAACGTGCTTGTTTCCGGGAGGGTTATAAGCCCCACGGATTATCGCCGAGGAAGAAAATGGCTGCTGGTTTGTCGGCGAGTGGTATTACAAAGGGTGGCATCACCCTAGCAAAGCGCACAAGAAGGCTCCCTACTTTCAACGTGTTTCTAGTTCCGAGCACTCTTCAGCTGCTTTTCTGAAACACAAGACTCAGGCAGAGCGGCAGTCTGTTCGAACATCCGGTGGTGCTCGAGAAGCTTACAACTGGCACCTTACGCTGAGTGAGCTAGAACGGGTGCTGCATGAAGTTAAACCTACGGCTGCCGGACCAGATGGAATTGATTATTACATGCTTACACATCTCCACCCCTCTACACTTGACATAGTCCTGTATTTGTTTAATGGCATTTGGCACGAGAGCACATTTCCATCCTCATGGAGAGTGGCCACTGTTATCCCTTTGCTAAAGCCTGGAAAAGATGCATCATGCGCGACCAGTTATCGCCCAATAGCGCTAACAAGCTGTCTTAGTAAGACTCTGGAGACAATGCTTAACAAGCGACTCATGTATTTTTTGGAAAAAGAAAATATCCTTGACAAATACCAGTGTGGGTTTCGTTCGTCACGGCCTACAATGGATCATTTAGTTCGTCTGGAGACTACTATTCGTGAGGCTTTTGTAAATAAGCAGCACTGCCTGTCTGTTTTCTTCGACTTGGAAAAGGCGTACGACACGGCATGGCGTCATGGCATCCTGCAAGACCTGTATAGTTTTGGCATTCGTGGAAGAATGCTAGCATTGGTCAAGAGCTATCTGGGGATGCGTACCTTCCGTGTAAAATTGGGCACTACTTACTCTAGAGAGTTGCCAGGAAAATGGCGTTCCTCAGGGAGGCGTTTTGAGTGTGATCCTTTTTATAGTTAAAATGAACTCAATAGCTCGGGCCATTCCACCATCTGTACAGTATTCACTCTATGTTGACGACCTTCAGATATCCGTCTCATCCTGCAACCTTGCTTTGTGCGAACGTAGGGTCCAACTAGCAATTAACAATTTGCTTAAGTGGGCAGACCAGAACGGCTTCAGCTTTTCACCTGAAAAAACAGTGTCTTTGTTTTTCTCGCCTACGGGGAACTTCAGTGAAGCCCTTGTTGACCATGCGATCCGCTTCAATTCCAACGAAACCTGAACATAAATTCCTAGGGCTTATTTTTGACAGTAAATTGACTTTTCTTTCGCATATCAGATATCTCAAAGTAAAATGCCAAAAAGCACTAAGGATTCTTAAGGTGCTTTCCCACACCTCCTGGGGCTCTGATCGCCTCTGCCTCCTCCGAATTTACGGATCGGTGATTCGCTCGCGCCATGATTATGGTTGTAGTGTGTATGGATCGGCAAGGCCTTCAGCCCTACGAATGCTTGACCCTATTCATCACCTAGGACTGCGGCTGTCTACAGGTGCATTTCGCACGTCGCCTATTCCCAGCCTTTACGCAGAGTCAAATGAATGGTCTCTGGAGAAGCGAAGGTTTGCTTTAGGGTTTACGTATTCGCTTAGAATTCGTTCGGTTCCCTTGCACCCTTCCCGAGAAGCTGTTGAAGAAATGAGATATAAACGTACTTTTGACAACAAGCCCACTGTAATACCACCTTTTAGTATGAGAAATGCATCCAAAGCAGATTCAATTGGACTGAGTAGTACAATGCCCGTCACTCCGGTTCCACAAACTATAGCTCCGTGGGACCACTGCCTCATTTCCTGTGACCTTTCACTAACAAAAATTAAAAAGAAAGAAACTCCACCAGAATACATAAAACAGGAATTTTTTGAGCTTCAGAGTAGATATTCTGGACACAACTCATACTACACGGATGGTACTAAGACAGAATCGTTTGTTAGATGTGCTATGGTCGGCCCCTCTGTTCGCTGTGTAAAACGGATTGCGTGTACAGCCACTATTTTAACAGCAGAGTTACGCGGTCTCCGTCTTGCAGTTGATCATATTGTAAAAACAAAGTGCAAGCAGTCAGTCGTGTACACTGATTCACTGAGTTCTCTGCGCTCACTCTTATCATTAAAGACTTCGAAAAACCCAATAATCATGGAGTTACAGTATAAAATTATTGATGCTTCAAAAAGGAATATTAAAATAATTTTATGTTGGGTTCCTAGCCATGTTGGTATACCCGGGAATGAAGAAGCGGACCTTGCTGCAAGTTCTGCTGGTGAGCAAGAAGTGGACCTGCATGACATTCCATACAAAGACTATAGCACACTTTTAAAGCATTGTATTAGAAGGAAGTGGCAACAAGAATGGGATGAAGAAGTTAATAACAAGCTCCATTCTGTAAAACCATTGATCAGTGAGTGGGAGAGTGCTGGACACCGTGAACGTTTCTATGAGGTTGTCTTGTGTCGACTGAGGATAGGCCATACACACCTTACTCATGGCCACCTCCTGCGCAGGGAAGAGGCCCCAGAGTGTGAGAACTGTTTTAGTCCTCTAACAGTTTTAAACATTTTACTTGAATGCCCAGCGTATGACCAAGAACGTCGAAAACATTTTTCTCAATTATATAACGAGCATACGCCTTTACACCTTAGTATTCTACTTGGCTACGGCCCACTTGTACCACACAGTTGTGTTTTTAACTTTTTGAGAGCTATCGGTCTTTTACACCGGCTATAAATTTATATTCAACTTCATCTCCATCACTATATATATTTACAAGTGATATACATAGTTTTAATCCACCACTGCTACTAAAGCTCTTTCTCCTCTGAAACCTTCTCTGCAATAGTCTGTATCTGGCGCATGATAGCCTAAGATGCTTTTGCGCCATAAAACCCTAAACAATCAATCATTCAAAGTTATTTATTGGAGCATGTTCAATACACCACCTTTAGTTGCAAAAAAATCAGAAACCGGTAATATATATTAGGGGGTTCCCAAGGATCCACACTCAAACAGTTTTTTTTTTCTGATGTACATCATTGATATTATTAACATACCACATACATGGGTTGCACGTGACGTCATATCCTTCTTCCTTTCTGGTGGCCAAAACCTGCTGTTATACTTCACCTTATGTGCAAGCAAAGGCAAAGCTGGAAGCGCGAGCACGAAAGCTCCGTGCCTTCAGGCTTTGCTCGAGCGAGCGCTGGTCTCGCGCTGCTAGCTTTGGCTTCGCTCGCAGATAAAATGAAACGAAGTATAATGAAGCTGTGCTCACTCGTTTCCGCTCGCTCGCGAC